AATTGAAATGACGGTTTAACCCCCACCCCATTTTTTTTGCGGGAACGGCTTTGTCGCTTCTCGGTAATTGTTATTCTCGGGCTCTACTTTAATAATTATAAATAAAATTTTACATTTTTATTGGCATTTTCTGTAACAAAGACCAAGTGCAAGATGTAAAGAAAATGCCAATCAAAATGTATTTTATGACATATAATTTTAGGAAGGGTAAAATAAGTGTAATATTAAATAATTATATTTATATCATTAAAAACTAATTTATAATATATTTTATAAATAAATGACATTTCAATAAAACAAATAAAACTTAATTTTCTGTAAAATTGTGTATCAAAACACATGAAGGAGAACTATCCATATAATCTGAAACAGAAAAAATTCAACGCCACCGTACTTTAACTTTATGTCATTTTGATTTTGATTTTTCTTTTAGACATTGTCACAGTTTTATAAAATCATTATATTTTTTAATTAATAATAGTATACTCCTCGTCTTTTTTAATTAGATTTAGTACATTTAAAAAAAACCATGCTTGCGGGATCAAGCTTTGAGGCCTTCCTTTGAGTTGCAAATGTTACTTTTCTGTTTTCTATTTATAAAAAGTTTTTCTTTCTAGGAAATAAATATTCATTTAAATATCCATTATCAATCGTTGTTTTCTAGGTAATAACTCTATTTCATTGGATGAAATTTTGATCTATATATTATTAAAATTTTTCTTTCTTTTCACAGGTAATTTGCTTGATGATATATGATAAAAATATTACTTAGTATTATAATTCCTTAGTATTAGTTAAGGTTTTAAGGGTAAAAAAGGCAAAGCCAATTATATACAAGGCTTGTAAACTTGTGGCATCATTTTGTTCGTTGTTCAATATTAGAAGGAAATTTAAAAAAAATATGGTTATTCTTAAAATTTAGAGCATTAATTAGATAGTAAAATTTACTAATTATCTTTATACAGACAACGCTGTTACAATTGAATATTAATAATTTATTATGAATAGGGCCTAGTAAACACATGTTAATGAATCAAAATACCTATGCTTAATTTTAAATATAACTTATATGAGTAGACTCTTCAAACAATGCTAAAACTAAAATTAAATAAAAGTACTCACCATGTTTTAATCAGCAACCATAATCATATTGTTTTGTTATTGTATCGGTCCCATAGATTAGGTAAAGTGAATAGATGGGAAACTCAATGGTAATATTCTGAGTCGATGTGCTGCCATCTATCAAATTGGAATGGTACTTAAATTCAATATGGCCGCTTAGCGATGGCTTTTTGAAATTTAACTTTCTGCTAGCCGCGCAACATATAATGAAGAAAATCAAACAAAAAAAATAAATTGGATAAATATTTGACTAGTTTCAAATCATAAAACAACCAAATTGACTGTTTTGTGATTTGAAACTAGTCAAATATTGTGCCAATTTATATTTTTATTTGATTTTATTTCATATTTTTGCATTAATTTCAAACTTGAAATAAAATGCAATTTATTTTATTATTTTTTAATACAGTAAATTAACGTCGCATCATATAATTTGTCTATTTAAACATGGAAATACTCAAACAAATATGCATTTACACCATTTATATAATTAAATATTTATAAAACAAACCTATCAGAAATGTTTTCTCTAACACAATCGGTATATTTAAGTGCTGAAGACCTTTATAAAAGTTTTGCAACTTGGAGTGGCAAATAAGTTTGAAAAACTTGAAGTTGAAGCATTATCCTTTTGGTGTCTTACTATCAAGGCGAATTTGAGTGTGGATAAAATTTGCCATATGTTTATTGAGTTGACTAGTTAGGTTGAGGAGCATTTCTTCATCCGATAATGGTTTTATTGATTTATTTGTACAGCACTTGTAGTTATCAAATTCTTATTCATCATCTGGGTACTGTGATAAATGAATTTAACTTTCGAGCTTAAATTAAACTTACACACGTTTGGACCCTTGAAGATTTTGGGGAGTTTTCTTGTTTGATGTCAATGGCTTTGAATCAATTTTTGATATCAATGGCTGAGGCTCAAATGTTTCATCGATCGACAGGGTATTTTGGAGGGCCAACATTTTCTTCACAACAATGATCATTTAAAAACTGAAAACAAAAAGAAATTTAAATAACAAACCAATTATTTTGACACTGAATAAAAAACAAGTTTGTAAATAGTACTTACCGCTGGTGCCAGTGCAAGATGCATTTTTCTTAAGACACTTATTACAAATTGTTTGGTTATTCTTAATATGAGAACCGCATATTTAATATGTGGTATAAATTGCATCACTACCACCAATATTTGGGAGTGCTTTATTGTTCGTTGCTGAAATCCATCTTCCCATATTTTGAAAACATGCTTAAAATTGGAAGGTGTTAAAAAATAAATCTAGATGAATCAAAATCCAATACACCTTCAAATGCAACAACCATTTTAATGTTTCTACGTTTGAAGTTTTGACGAGCTGACAACTGACATGACATTTCGATACGAGCGCCATTCCGTTAATTGGAGTGGTACTAAATTACCATCCTCATGTTTTTCCATTTGAGTTACCAGCCCCTGATCGGTCCCATCGAGCAGCAAATCTAAAGTATGATTTACATTGTACAACCCAGATATCATAGACCCGTTTTAAAGACATCTTAAAGACGTTGTTTATGACGTTCATGACGTTTTAAAGATGTACGCTAATATCCAAAATATGTTTTAAAGACGTCTATAGGACGTACATTGTTACAAAACAAGGCGTCTTTAGGACTTCCAATTTTGTAAGTCTTTAAAACATTCAGTTTTTACATCATTAAGACAAACCGTATCGGACGTGTTTAAACTGTCTACTTGATCGAAAAATAAATTAATCTTTGTCTACTATATTTAATACAATGTTCAATATACATTATTAAACTATTAAAACTGACACATAGAGTAGGTATTATTTTACTGTGTTGCATAAAATAATTAGGTTTTTTCTCATTGTCATACTCGTCTTCATAAGTAAAAATGACTTCAAGTACTCCCGGAAATTCTACTTTGTCCAGTTTGGTCGCTTTAAAACTTCTTTTATGGTATTGATTTTAGCCAAAGCGTAACTAATGTCCCCGCAGGATATAATTTTCTTGAATTATTCTATTACGGTATTTTTCTAAAAGATAAGACATTATTTAAGTGAGGTTCATATGAGGAGCAGGGTTGATTTGATGACGAGGCAACTGGATAGTTTGTCGAATGTAGGGCTGCTGGGATAATGTTATGAAAGTAAAAGACAAATAAATTAAAACTAAAAGTTTACTATATATAAAAAGACAATATATAAAAACACACAACCACCAAAAAGTAATGACAATGTCCACAGACCGACGCTAAAAATATTATACAATGGCAGTCTCGAGTCTCGAGCAATGAACTGGAGTGGGGTAGAATGCTTGTCAATAGGCTTGACATGCGACTCTATGGGCAAAGACAGGTTATTTTTCATCTCACTCGGGAGTATTTATAACAACCATTTTCTATTTCACTTTGTTATTGTCTGATCCACCAGCATGTGGATTGAACAATAACAAAGTGAAACAGAAAATGGTTATCATAAATACTCCCGAGTGAGATGAGAAATAAAAATGGCTGCGCCCATAGAGTCGCATATTGTTCTATTGATACAATATGCACATTGGCTTTCTACCCCACTCCAGTTCATTGGTCTCGAGAAGGCAGCCAGACGAAGAATACGACGCGATGCGCGTGCACGCGCGAGACTGCCATCAGTCAACGACAATGACGAATGACGACCATACATGCACTGCAGACAGCGCCATGAACGGTGTCGTGGCGCCATATTTAAATATAGCAAAAAGAGTTGAACGTCCACATTATCGACATATTTAAAACGTCCTGAAAACATCCCAACAAAGACGTTTTAAACATGTCCTGAGCAGGGCGTCTTAAAACGTCCGTCCTACGTACCAGGAAGTTTGGACCAAAGTAAGACATGAACTGGACGTTTTTAAGATGTAGTGTGCTACCTGGGAAATAATGTTAAATTCACGTTTTTCAAATAATTATTGTAGTATTTATATAAATTTGAAAAATTTCCATGTGTTACAGTGATATGTTTTGAATTATTCAATTATTGAGTGTACTTTAAATTTAAATATCATTTTGTTATTGTTAAACGGACTGGTTTATATGTTGCGTACTAACCTGTTGATATAATGCGCATATTTTATAACCTATTTTAATGAGTTTTTGAAATTTAAGTGGTCGTTACTTCGTTATTTATAACTGCTTTTTGCTTGATCCTTGTAGTTGTGTACAGGGGAGGGGGTGAACAACATGTAGGGGAGGTTATAGCAATGTGAACTACGGGAGCATTCTAAACCATATAGGTTTTTTCATAACAGCGACAACAATGCAGCAGATTCCATTCTATTTATGTGCATACAGGTCCGACCGATACTCAGTAAAAAGGCTGGGGGTAGAACTACTATTTGAGAGTCGTACAAACATTTTGAGAGCAATTAAACCACTTTTCCATTTTTCGATCCGTTTTTACAGTTATTTTATTTTACACTACATTTTTGCATGTTAACCATTTTGTATACAAAGAAATGCTCTTGCTACATCATCTTAGATTTAAAAAAAAAACAAATTTCGCTGAAAAAAGTAAATATCCGGTCACGTTGCCGAAATTCGTACACCAGCAGTAGCAAAACCGGACGAATTAAAAATGCTTGCAGTTCGATTTTTGTATTGTTATTGACGCCTACAATCATATATTTCACTTTTAGCAAAAAAATCTGTCGATAACCAAGTTTTCTTTGAATTTCATAGGTCACATGACCGCGCCCACCACCAGGACATAGTTGTTCGTCCTCTCCACTGTACTCAACCACAAAGAGCAAGCAAAAATATGACGTGCCACGTTTTGCAATCAGATAAGGGACTATTGGCCGTTCGACTAATACAAAATTATTGATTATTTATTTAGGTTTTCGAAGAAGAACACAAAAATTGCATGGACTATTTTGAGGAATATATGAAAAAAACAATGGATGACATTTTAGCTGTAAAAATGGAAGAGGCTAAGAAGAGAGAAAGGCAACGAAAGAAAGAAGCCAAATTAAAGTAAGTTTTCTAAACTGTCATATCATCTTTAATGTTATATGAGCCGTTCTAAGAGGAAAAATTTTATTAACAGCTGAAAATATGTTTCTAACGTTAGCTGTATTTAAAATTTTCATGTTTCTCTACCAATATGCAAAAATCATGTCGACGATTGCTCCGTGAAAAACATTTTCCGGAATAAAAGTAACCTATGTGCTATTCCAGACTATAATCTACATCTGTGTTAAATTTCATTCCGATCCATTGAGCCGTTCTGGCGTGACTGAGCAACAAACATCCATGCATCCAAACTTCCGCATTTATATATAATATCGCAAACAAGTTTTCTTTAAAGAATTTTCTTAAAAACTTTAATTTTGTCTTTTTTTTAAATATCTGGAATACCGATCATTTTAGGAAAATTATGTATGAAACATAAATTATAGACAAACTTATATTGATGATTTTTCTTCTACAAGCGAAACTTGAAAATTGGAATTGTAGCTACTCATCATACATAAATAGACCTGTTTCAGGCTTTTTGGATTTTTACATTTCATAGAGGGGGGAATGAGGAATATCGTAAAATAAATAAATACACATAAAAAAAATAATATGAAGGGCTCCTCCGGGTATTTTATTCGAAACAATAGCGAACTTTCAACAATATATTTCAACCTAAAAGATACAAAATCATAAAACTCTCAACAAGGCGTCCTTACAGAACACTTAACAGCTTTTTCTTCTTTCTTCTTGACCTCAATTTCTCTTCGTTTTTTTTTGGTAATGATCATAAAATACTGCTAGCAGAGAAACTACTACAGTCGGCCTTCCTGACTAGAGGATCGGCCCGATCCTCCTACTAATCAAAATGTATCAGATACCCACACATACATGACAATACTACAAACGTTCATAAAACAAGGGTGTAACATAAACATGAAAAATATACATAAAACATAAGTAATCATAAAAACATAAATGGCATAAAATAAATAATCATAAAGACAGGACATAAGACATAATCATAAGAACTTAAATGACGTACATAAGACATAAATAAACAAGGACATAAATGACATAAGTAATCATAAGGTATAAATGTCAAACCATAATTATAAGTAAATGAAATAAGACATAAGTATTCATAAGATATAAATGATAAACCATAATCATAAGAACATAAATGACAAGTATTCATAAGAAATAAATAACATAAACCATTAATTACCATAAGAACATAAATGACATAAACATAAACATAATCATAAGGGGTATCTATCAATTATGTAAGTTTTTTTTTTTCATGAGAACAGTACTTAACTTATAGAATAAAATGTGTTAAAATTAAATTCAGTTTACGATTTAAGCAAACACCTAAAACTAACAAAAATAAAATAATCTTATTCAACATCAGAAAGACATTCTGGTTGTTGGTCACTTTTCCAAAGTTTCATTTGGTCCGGACCAACTATTGTCTCAAAAGGCCGTTGACTTAACTAAAATCCTTCAATATCCGTTGCTATTTACCGGTTGCTATCTAATTTTTCTTTAATGACTAACGGTCCTTTAAATTTCGGAAGGAGTTTCTTATTTACTACCGGAGTTACATCAACATTCCGAAAACGTAATCACCTGCTTTATAAACGCGGGGAAACTTATGTCTCATTATAGTATTTCTCATTTACTTCTTGACTTTTTAATGGCCCTACTGGCCTTTTCTCGTATTTGTGGTAAGTCACGGTTTAAGGAGTTGTGAGATTCTAATAAAACTCTAAGTGGGTCGTTAACATTCCCTGTTTGATTTATTCCAAATAATACTGTGACGGGTGTCTCTACAAATGGTATTATTTAATGCGAATTCTACTTTACTTAATACACGATCCCATTTATCAATTGAATTTGTTAATTTTGAAAGCATAGGAGTAATTACACGGTTAAAGCGCTCAATTTCGCCATTTTCCAGTGGCGTACCTGTTGCTATCAATACTAAACCTATGGATTCATTATCTAAGAACTCCTTGAATTCCTGAAACGCAAAAGATGAACTTCTATCAGCTATTATTTGCTTTGGTTTACTGCAATTTCGGAAATATTCTACTAAATGTTTTATAACTTCTTGTGTTTTTGTACTTGTGCATGGATAAAGCCTGATAAATTTAGTAACCATCAATTATTTCAAACATGAACTTATAACCTCTACTTGTCTTTGCTAACGGACCGTAATGATCTATGTGAAAAACTATAAATGGCATGTTTCCCTTTAGAATACTATTTAAAAATCCTTCACGATTGCCACTTATGGGTGAAAATTCTAAACTTCAAACAATTAGAAATATAAGAAATGAATCGAAAGTATTTAAAGTGTGTAGGTAGAGGAACTTTAAATACTTTCGATTCATTTCTTATTACCCAGTGTGTACACACCACTCAACCTCTTCAATTAGAAATATATTCTTTAACTATAGCATTCATATTGGGAAACTAATACACCATCTTTATTTGATGCATGGTTTTGTCTATTCCTAGATAACTAAGGTTATCATGACAAGTTCGAATAACGTTAGATACCATACTACTGGGGACATAAAACAGTAACTTACTTTTTTCTTTTCGGTAAACTTTTAACTCAACATTTATTATCTCCCTTTTCTAATTGTTCGCGAATTTTTACGATTACACTATCCCTATCTTGTTTACGCGCTCAAAAGTACTACCCTCTATAATCATCATTATGTGATGACACCTACTGAGTGCATCAACGTGACCCATTCTCTTACCACTTCTGTGTTCTATCGTATAGTCACAACTTTGCAAAAACATAGCCCATACGTGGATTAATAGATTGCTTGTTTAGTGTCAATCGAAAGCTAGCACAGTCAGTAATAATTTTGAAAGGGATGCCAAATAAATGTAAAATCTTTTAATAGCATAAAGTTTCCAATTCAAAACTATGGTATTTTGATTCTGCTGATGTCGTTCGATGACTATAATATGAAACAGGTTTGAAATAACCATCTTTTTGTTTCTGCATAAGAAAATGGCACCAAATCCATGACTACTTCTATCACAATGTAACTCAGTCGGTAATTCAGGGCTATAAATATTCAAAATCGGATAACTAGCTAATAGCTCTTTTAATTTTTGAAAAGCATCAAATTCTTTTTGGCAAAACGTAAATTATACATTTTTTCGAATCAAATTATAAAGAGGTCCAGCAATATGTGCAAAATTTTATATACATTTCCTAAAATAACTAGCCAAATAGGTAATCTTGTTATACATAAATTTGCATTTATCTAACCTAAATTGTAAATTATATTTTTGAGCTAAGTATAAAACATCGTTTATTGTCCAATCAAATAGACCTTCTAATCAAAATTTTTGAGGAAATACAGGAATTTTTGATATGTCACTTTGAAAACGATATGTAAAAAAAATTTTTTAGGCCCAGGCAAATTGCAAAAACCAAGAAAATAAAGTATTTTTGAAGGTTATTTAAAAACGGTAGGTGCTATAAAAAAGTTTAATAAAAATTGTAAAGCATAAAGTTTTACATAATATTTAGCATTTTTTGCAATTATTAAAACTAACAGAGTTAGGGTGTTTATAAGTTAAAAGGAGATATATGTGAGCTAAAAATTCAATGATTTTTTATTTTCATTTTATTATTTACTTAGAAAAATATGAACTTTCCTTTCAGATTAATAATTTTTTTCATTGGCTTTTTTTAAGTTATGACAATTTAAATTTACAAATTTTTAATAGTAATATTATACGACTTTATATGGTAAAATAAATTTTGGAGTGAACTTATATGGCTTGTCTGACAAAAAATATGAGTAACTAACTAATAAAAAAGACATTGCGACAAAAAAAAAACTAAATATAAATGATTAAAAATAATAGAAATAAAGATAAAAAATAATGAAAATAATATAAATAAAATTAATTAAAAATGAGTAAAAGTAAAAAAATGAATTAAAATTAAAAAAATTAATTAAAAATAAGACATTACTAAAAAATAAAAATAAATACAAAAACTAAATAAATTAAATTAAAAAATAAAAATAAAAAATAATTGAAAAATAAATAAAAATAAATAAAAATAAATAAAAATAAATAAAAATAAATAAAAATAAATAAAAATAAATAAAAATAAATAAAAATAAAATAAATAAAAATAAATAAAAATAAATAAATAAATAAAATAAATAAAAATAAATAAAAATAAATAAAAATAAATAAAAATAATAAAAATAAATAAAAATAAATAAAAATAAATAAAAATAAATAAAAATAAATAAAAATAAATAAAAATAAATAAAAATAAAATAAATAAAAATAAATAAAAATAAATAAAAATAAATAAAAATAAATAAAAATAAATAAAAATAAATAAAAATAAATAAAAATAAATAAAAATAAATAAAAATAAATAAAAATAAATAAAAATAAATAAAAATAAATAAAAATAAATAAAAATAAATAAAAATAAATAAAAATAAATAAAAATAAATAAAAATAAATAAAAATAAATAAAAATAAATAAAAATAAATAAAAATAAATAAAAATAAATAAAAATAAATAAAAATAAATAAAAATAAATAAAAATAAATAAAAATAAATAAAAATAAATAAAAATAAATAAAATAAATAAAAATAAATAAAAATAAATAAAAATAAATAAAAATAAATAAAAATAAATAAAAATAAATAAAAATAAATAAAAATAAATAAAAATAAATAAAAATAAATAAAAATAAATAAAAATAAATAAAAATAAATAAAAATAAATAAAAATAAATAAAAATAAATAAAAATAAATAAAAATAAATAAAAATAAATAAAAATAAATAAAAATAAATAAAAATAAATAAAAATAAATAAAAATAAATAAAAATAAATAAAAATAAATAAAAATAAATAAAAATAAATAAAAATAAATAAAAATAAATAAAAATAAATAAAAATAAATAAAAATAAATAAAATAAATAAAAATAAATAAAAATAAATAAAAATAAATAAAAATAAATAAAAATAAATAAAAATAAATAAAAATAAATAAAAATAAATAAAAATAAATAAAAATAAATAAAAATAAATAAAAATAAATAAAAATAAATAAAAATAAATAAAAATAAATAAAAATAAATAAAAATAAATAAAAATAAATAAAAATAAATAAAAATAAATAAAAATAAATAAAAATAAATAAAAAAAATAAATAAAAATAAATAAAAATAAATAAAAATAAATAAAAAAATAAATAAAAATAAATAAAAATAAATAAAAATAAATAAAAATAAATAAAAATAAATAAAAATAAATAAAAATAAATAAAAATAAATAAAAATAAATAAAAATAAATAAAAATAAATAAAAATAAATAAAAATAAATAAAAATAAATAAAAATAAATAAAAATAAATAAAAATAAATAAAAATAAATAAAAAATAAATAAAAATAAATAAAAATAAATAAAAATAAATAAAATAAATAAAAATAAATAAAAATAAATAAAAATAAATAAAATAAATAAAAATAAATAAAAATAAATAAAAATAAATAAAAATAAATAAAAATAAATAAAAATAAATAAAAATAAATAAAAATAAATAAAAATAAATAAAAATAAATAAAAATAAATAAAAATAAATAAAAATAAATAAAAATAAATAAAAATAAATAAAAATAAATAAAATAAATAAAAATAAATAAAAATAAATAAAAATAAATAAAAATAAATAAAAATAAATAAAAATAAATAAAATAAATAAAAATAAATAAAAATAAATAAAAATAAATAAAAATAAATAAAAATAAATAAAAATAAATAAAAATAAATAAAAATAAATAAAAATAAATAAAAATAAATAAAAATAAATAAAAATAAATAAAAATAAATAAAAATAAATAAAAATAAATAAAATAAATAAAAATAAATAAAAATAAATAAAAATAAATAAAAATAAATAAAAATAAATAAAAATAAATAAAAATAAATAAAAATAAATAAAAATAAATAAAAAATAAATAAAAATAAATAAAAATAAATAAAAATAAATAAAAATAAATAAAAATAAATAAAAATAAATAAAAATAAATAAAAATAAATAAAAATAAATAAAAATAAATAAAATAAATAAAAATAAATAAAAATAAATAAAAATAAATAAAAATAAATAAAAATTAATAAAAATTAATAAAAATAAATAAAAATTAATAAAAATTAATAAAAATTAATAAAAATTAATAAAAATAAATAAATAAAAATTAATAAAAATTAATAAAAATTAATAAAAATTAATAAAAATTAATAAAAATTAATAAAAATTAATAAAAATTAATAAAAATAAATAAAAATTAATAAAAATTAATAAAAATTAATAAAAATTAATAAAAATTAATAAAAATTAATAAAAATTAATAAAAATTAATAAAAATTAATAAAAATTAATAAAAATAATAAAAATTAATAAAAAATAATAAAAACTAATAAAAATTAATAAAAATTAATAAAAATTAATAAAAATTAATAAAAATTAATAAAAATTAATAAAAATTAATAAAAATTAATAAAAATTAATAAAAATTAATAAAAATTAATAAAAATTAATAAAAAGAAATAAAAAGAAATAAAAAGTAATAAAAAGAAATAAAAAGTAATAAAAAGTAATAAAAAGTAATAAAAAGTAATAAAAAGTAATAAAAAGTAATAAAAAGTAATAAAAAGTAATAAAAAGTAATAAAAAGTAATAAAAAGTAATAAAAAGTAATAAAAAGTAATAAAAAGTAATAAAAAGTAATAAAAAGTAATAAAAAGTAATAAAAAGTAATAAAAAGTAATAAAAAGTAATAAAAAGTAATAAAAAGTAATAAAAAGTAATAAAAAGTAATAAAAAGTAATAAAAAGTAATAAAAAGTAATAAAAAGTAATAAAAAGTAATAAAAAGTAATAAAAAGTAATAAAAAGTAATAAAAAGTAATAAAAAGTAATAAAAAGTAATAAAAAGTAATAAAAAGTAATAAAAAGTAATAAAAAGTAATAAAAAGTAATAAAAAGTAATAAAAAGTAATAAAAAGTAATTAATAAAAAGTAATAAAAAGTAATAAAAAGTAATAAAAAGTAATAAAAAGTAATAAAAAGTAATAAAAAGTAATAAAAAGAAGTAATAAAAAGAAGTAATAAAAAGTAATAAAAAGTAATAAAAAGTAATAAAAAGTAATAAAAAGAAGTAATAAAAAGTAATAAAAAGTAATAAAAAGTAATAAAAAGTAATAAAAAGTAATAAAAAGTAATAAAAAGTAATAAAAAGTAATAAAAAGTAATAAAAAGTAATAAAAAGTAATAAAAAGTAATAAAAAGTAATAAAAAGTAATAAAAAGTAATAAAAAGTAATAAAAAGTAATAAAAAGTAATAAAAAGTAATAAAAAGTAATAAAAGTAATAAAAAGTAATAAAAAGTAATAAAAAGTAATAAAAAGTAATAAAAAGTAATAAAAAGTAATAAAAAGTAATAAAAAGTAATAAAAAGTAATAAAAAGTAATAAAAAGTAATAAAAAGTAATAAAAAGTAATAAAAAGTAATAAAAAGTAATAAAAAGTAATAAAAAGTAATAAAAAGTAATAAAAAGTAATAAAAAGTAATAAAAAGTAATAAAAAGTAATAAAAAGTAATAAAAAGTAATAAAAAGTAATAAAAAGTAATAAAAAGTAATAAAAAGTAATAAAAAGTAATAAAAAGTAATAAAAAGTAATAAAACGTAATAAAACGTAATAAAAAGTAATAATTATAGATGTTTTGATATTATAAACACGGCTACATGCGTGCAAAGCTGCGGGAACAGCTAGTATTGTTATAATGTATTTTCTCAACAGGTTAACATAATCTTACATATGTTTAAATTCTTAAGATGTCAACGTATATTGTGCATATACAGGACTTAAAAAAATATTTATGGTACCTACCTGGGAGTCATCCAGTCATCCAGGTAGTTTCCAATAATTTACATATTTTAGAAACAACTCTTCATTTGCCATCGCCATATTTGTTACGACTGAACTGAAACTGAAAAGTTTTCTCTACACTCGGTTCACAAAAGGGCGCACCGGTTAATTTTTTTGAGTTCAACTGATTCCAACCGAAAATTCAAATACTGACCCGAGTGTCAAAAAGTGCGCACCAGTTTCAACACTCGAAAACAATAACAGACATCATCGCGAAAATAGTCAGAAACCCGACGACGAAAAAATCATGATTCCTCTACTTTATATATAAAAACTTTCTTTTTTTATGATGTTTCAATAAATTTTTACTCTAACAGGGCTCTAGAACCTCCGGAACCACCAGAACCAGAAGAGCCAGTAGATTATTGTGTGGATCCATGTCCAGCTTGTCAACCAGTGTGTCCTTGCGTTGAAAAACCAGATAATTTTGATAATATTTCATCGTTCAGAAGGGAATCAGACGAATCGACTGGTTCAGATCTGTTTTCTGTTGGATCTAACACGTGCACCTGTGCAATAGAAAAAGCTGATGAAGAGAGATTAAAAAAAATGGTACCATGTGAACCATGTAACGAAGGTAACTAAGACCAAATGAGATAAAATAATATATATGTTACCCAAAATACCCGATGTCCGATAAAACCCGATCTTACTAGGAGAAACCAGTTTTAACTATCCCCTTTAGGTAATTTGTTACGTGTGTAAATTCATTTTATATTATTAAATTAAAAAAAATCATTAATTGTAATAAGTAAAAGGATACAATATATTATATTTTATTGTGTACTAGAACTCTGTCAATCTTCATCTACAGCAGCCTCTAAAATAAATAATAGATATTATTTTAATATAACAATAAATTTTTCTAAATAAGTGTTTAACAAACAGGAAATGTCTTCCTTTTCTTTGAGATTCTTAAACTTAGTCTGTGTAACTATTCCACTAGTTAAGATCGCTGGCTAGAAACCTTCTAGTTAAAGTTAGTTCTGCCATAAATAACCTCTTATTTCGTTTCCGATTTTCCCGCGATTTTTTTGATCAAGAAACTTGCATGCTGCACGTGAGTGCATATTCGATTTTCAGATTTCCAGCTAGTTTGTAGGGAAATAGATTAGAAAGTGGTTTTCTAAAGGAAAACTAATCACTTTGTTGGATTCGTTCTAATCTCCCAGATTGAGAAACAATATTATACACATTTGAGGCCCCATTACAACTGAGGTGAGTAACTAACCTGTCTTAAATTATAAAGTAGGCTTACATTTATATTTATATGCTTACCTTTTTGTCTTGCTTTTAGGCCTTTCTCTTTTCTGCTCTTTCTTACGCGTTGGGTCATATCTTTCTGGAAATCTGCCTTTCTTAGAGCTGGATAAGTATAAGCACCCCATTGTTATTACATGTCCGCATGTATAATGCTGTTTCTGGTGG